ACTACATGACTGCTTCGTGGTTTCAATACAGTTCTTGTTACGGGAGAGATCAGCCCGATAGATTGGGCAATTTCAACCGACTAGCAGAAATCAAAGCAAGCCGTAAATCGTTGGAAGACAGGGTACACAGAACGATGTTGCCATGGTGTTGGCATGCGCCTATGTGATACTTACCGAAGCAAGTTTTAGTGCCCCCTTAATACATCGATAAACCCGGAGTGTGCAAGTTAACGTTGTGCCAAAGTGAAATGATCTTGGGTGTGTGCGTGCCTGTGTGCGACCACCGGAGATGCGCGGTGCGCCCGCGGTGTCTGTGTCTGTCCTATTCTACCGCGGAGTGTACATGATGGTATGAATATAAAATAACTGTGTGGGTCACATTTGTGGGTAGAGATGGCATATGGGACATTATGGTACATTATGTAAGACACCTTTTCATAATAATAATAATAATAATAATAATAATAATAATAATAATAATAATAATAATAATAGTGATGATGATAATGATGATGATGATGACCACGTAATATATTCTGCAGAAGGCAATGGCAAACCACTGCAGTATCTAATCGCACACAAAAAATCAATGGAGAGGTGTAATATTATCTCCGATGGATTAGCACAAGTTCAGCAATGAACACGCCCGCCGAAAATAATAATAAGAAAAAGACACCTTTGTGGGGATAAACGTTTACACAAGTAATGCATTGGGCTGAACATGATATTATTTACATATATGCAATTCTTAACCATCTTACTTGTTTTGCCGTCTTGGCGTTTTACTTGTCCTCTTAATATATCTTTCCTGCTTATGTCAATATTGTCGTTTTTTTAATGTTGTATGAATTCTGTAGGGAAAAAAGTGGAGAACGAAACTGTTAGGCAGGACAAGAATAAACATTGACCTTATCTCTCAGTTTATCAACATTGTAAATATTTGATAGGAGCGGGATGCAATAATGTTTTGATAAGAGTGAAATGTTTTGACGGATTACCCTAACAATATAGAATTATAGGTGTTTTCGCCGAAACTGTGTGTGCCTTTGATTAGATGTTTAATTCTCTGAAATGTGTTCTTGTCTCCCCCAGCGGTTGCCACTATGCTATAGCGTCTCGGTCTAGCCGCAGTTAGAGGGACTGGCTGTATTATTTTAGCTGCAATCACGCCTCAACAGCAGAACGAAGCCGACATGTTTTGTCACAACTGTGCAGCTGTTTTCTGAAAAAGCATGCTCTACTGGCCGGTTTCCAATATACCCCCTGCCGCTTCGCTTTTACACCCACTACTCGTGGTTTGCGTGAATATGCTCGAGTGGGCGTGTGCGTGCGTGCTCATGCGCGTGTGCGTGCGCGCGTGCCTATCCGTGAGCGGTCGTCTGTGAATAAACAGTCGGTGACAAATAGTATGGTGCGACAATGTTACGTTACTACGTTGCTGGTTTACGCGCGCTACGGAGTTCCCGCGTGTACGTGTGTGTACGTATGTGTGTAGGTGTGTGTGTGTGTACTCAACGTACGCTCCCCGCCACGCATTCTCTGTCCCAGCTTTCTTTACGCTTCCCGACTCGCGTCCGTCATTGTGTTGAGTTTCCGAACCCCCTTCCCCCTCTATCTTGTTCTCACTCCGTCGGCTTGAAGCGCTCAGCTAGCACTCGATGAGTGAGTGAGTCAGTGGCGTGATGCATGTTGCTACAACGAGCCGCCACGCTATATCGATTCTATGCTAGCGGCCATCTTGGTTTTCTCGTCCACCGCGCACAGTCTGAACGCGCGGGCCAGCGACTGACGCTCACTGCTGAACGTGCGTGTGCGAGCGTGTGTGTGTGTGTATGTGTGTGCTTGCTCGCCTTGCCTCGCCGTCTCTGCTGCTGCTTGCGTTCACATCAGACGCTTGTCCGGCATCCATCGGTGTACGCGCACCGTTTCGTGCTGCTCTGTGTTTGTGTGTGCCGAGTAAGCACGTTGGCTCGTCATTGTTGCCAAGGTAACGTCTCCATCGTTGTTAGCGGTTCAACAGATCGTCTACCGGCCACTGGGTAAGTCGTCTGCGAATGTTGTGTGCGCGTGGTAGCGTGAGGTAGCGTGCGACTGCTGGGATCACAGGCACTTGAAGCGTTTCCATAAAATATAATGCTAACTAAATACGAAATCGATTTACTACCAAATTCTTAATGTTTCTATACTCTCTTTCACCTATTATTGCCGACAGTTTTCTGTCAAATCCTACGTGCAACAATATACGCTGCCGGCGCCATTGCTCTCGCGGCTCCACTGTTGCACGCTTACACCATAGATATATACAATGTGTATAGATGTGTATACACCATAGATATATACAATACCAAGATATGTGTTGTATATATCTATGCTTACACTAATATATATATACATAGTGTAACTAACTATATATATATTAGTGTAAGCGTGCAACAGTGGAGCCGCGAGAGCAATGTCGCCGGCAGCGTATATTTTGCACGTAGAATTTGGACGGAATTGACAGGAAACTGTAGGCAATAATAGGTGAAAGAGAGTATAGAAACATTTGGTAGTAAATCGATTTTGCATTTAGTTAGCATTTTATTTTATTGAAACGCTTCAAGTGCCTGTGGCTGGGATGTCTGGCGGCTAGCGTGTGGTGTAGGTGTATACTCAATAGTGTAATGCTGTCGACACTCCGTTGTGCCGGTGAAAGTTTCATGTTCTAGTCGAATAACGGCGATTTTTGCTGAGCCTCGCGGTAAATTCGCGGAGTGAAAATTCACGGCAGTGATTCGGGTTCAAGGATCATAACAAATGTGCAAATGTGCAAATGTTGATAGATTCGTGTAGGCTACTTTTCTTTTTGCGGTCGTGTGCGGTGAGCCACTTTCGCGAATTGTTCATGCATAGCATCCGCTCGGTCATTATATGTAACCGAGCCGGATCGTTGTGGCTTGATAATTATTGTGATTACATCATCGTAGTCGAGTTTCGCATCTATGCAAACGGATAGTTATATTTTATAATCTTTCGTGTGCACGGTGACGCCTCGCTGCATCTGCTAATATCTACAGTCAGTATAATTACACACATTAGTCCTGCATTTGCCACCAGGTGGCATATGAATTCTAGAGAGTTTTTACGTTATACACAGTATGAATCGGCTCTCTTGGGATATGAAGTGCTTTGTAGGTTGGCTGTTGAAGCAGTTACTGCCTCGCAGTATTGCATGTTGAATATTCGGAGTGCGTGTTTGTTGCTTGACGAGACCACTGGTGCATGTAGACCCCACGCTTGGCCTCACGATAAACAGTGGGGAGGACTTGCCATTCATTGGTATTTTATGTCCTTCGCGGAAAGCACTTAAATTGTCTACCTGGTGTATATCAATAAAAGCGACACGTAGTCGCAGTACTCAGATATAAGAAAACTAGGCTCTAAACATTCCAGTCTGCCTGAATGCACACTTTATGGTACAGCGAAGTCGTGAGAGAGCTGTGGGACTGGAGTACAGTTTAGGGAGGTGGTCCGTCGTGAAACTATACATAACAGAATGGGGAGTTGATAGTTTCGGCAAGATCTGTCTATTAATTGAGTTGAGAAGGCTGTGTCAGTTGTAGGAATGTGCCCGTCGAGCCATTGGCAGCGTAAAACAGGCAGTCGTGCTTTCGCAGTGAGATCTAGATGGAATCTGACGACCCGTTAGCATTCCACCTTGCTCACTGATGGCATTGAAACCGTATGGCTTCAGAAGCTCTAAGCTGGCTGTAGGCAATCAGAGATGACTGCTGCAGCTGCAAACACTACCAACTACTATATATACAGTCAAACCTCGGTTATCCGAACATCTATTATCCGAATTTCGGATTATCCGAGCAAGATCTCAAGGTCCCGTGAATAGATCAGTTATCAGCGATCAGGTCAGTTATCCGAACAAAATACTCCCCGCCCGTCTCGTTCGGACAATCGAGGTTTAACTGTATGTATATTATATGTATATAAAAATAAATGTATGTAATAAATGTATGTAATAATAAAAATATTATTTATTTATTTATTTATTTATTTATTTATTTATACCTATATGTGTGTGCATGCGCACGTGTGTGCGTATTTTTTATGTATGTATCTGGTTGCCTTGCAAAAATGACGGAAAGTGTGTAATAGACAATAACCTCCTATACCCCACAACTCATCCTTACTCTGTCCCTATCCTGGATCAAGGAAAATTAAGTTGCTTCACTCGCAGCCTCTTGATCAACTGCTGAAAGCCTTGTGTGTCGTCTGACAACCACACCAGATTGGACATCTTTCCCATTCCAGCCCCGCTGCTAGCTAACAGACACCTGTCTGAATCCTGGCTGAACTGTGACTGCGTTGGCTAGTCATAAGACAAGTTTGTGTACTTTTCGGACCACTGTCTCTCTCGTGTAGCGTCAGAATAGCTCAGGAGATAAACGTTTGAGTGTTTATGCGTTAGCGGCACATGTCAAAAAAGCGGTCGACTGCTGTGTAGGAAGGTAACGGCCCCTCAAGTGCAATTTCTATTGCTGATACCTCCCACCTGCTGCTGCTGTCGAATGCAGCGAGGCATTTTTTCCACAACGGTTGTAATACTCGAGCGTGGCCGTTCAGCCTTGGACTATCATGTTGTGTTTAACAGCATTATAAAATATAATTATCTGAATTGCCTATAATTTAGTTTAATAGTGATGAGTTTCGCATTCCAGAGCTCGGTTAAAATTTGATAATGGTCTGTTGTAAATATAGTTGAAATTGGTCTGGGTTTTTTGTGACCTTTGACCTTTGCGTCTGCTTGATTTTGGTTTCATGGTTATGTTACACAGTTGTGTGGATTTGGTCATACATGGTCTATCACTATGTTTCTCTTCCATTACGTCTTTTTCATGCTGCATTTACCTAATATTGTAAACCGTTACTATGTTACATGTGGCTGTACTGTAAATATTTATTGGCTGTTACATGCATTTATGATGGTTTGTTACTTTTTGCAACAGGCTGACCTTGTAGAATTCTACTACTTCTGGAAAAAGACGTCTCCGGCGAACGGCACTCGTCTGCTGAGGCGAAACCGCCGACCAGTCCTTCGTCGTGTCAAGGATAGGTCGCGCCGCTGCACGGAAAACAACAGTACGTCTTTCGCTCACTCTCACTCTCGCTTTTCTCTTCGCGGCGCCGATGTCTCTCAGTGGAATTCTAGCGAAAATTCATGAAATTCCTGAGCTTATCCGATAACCTTTCTTGTGCAGATGATGGATGTCATGAAGCAAACGCATTTTAGTGTACAGTCAACAAGTCAGCGTAAATTCACACTGGGAGCCTGCAGAAATGCATTCAGCAGCTTCAGTCGTGCATGGGTACCTCATCCACGCTCTCCTCTCACGATAAGCGGCACTCACAGTTCAGTGTTTCCCCTGCATTGACACGAGCGAGGCGGGCTGCTTTGCTGAAATTCTCAGCCGCCACACAGAAATTTGTCAAGAACACCGCCTCGCTGACGAAACTTTCGACAACTTGAAACAGAGATTCAAGAGTCTCATACAATGTGTTCAGAATAGCTTAGAATGCACCAAATTGCATCATTTTTTCAAAAAAATTCCCGGGGGAGCATGGGACCCCCCGGATCCCCTAGCTTGGCCAGTACCTGCGCTGCTCGCTTTGCTAGGACCTCGAAATGTGCAAACACATCACAAAAAAACATTTGCTACCTCACAGACCTTTTTGGCCAGGTGAAACATTGCAGTTCCTCTCTTAACGCAGCAGAAATTTTGTTAAATTCTTGGTTCAAGATTGGTTAAATGTAATGTCGATGATCCCCTAGCGGCATTAGTGATTTTTAATATATTTCACATCTAATGTTTGAAGTCGGTCTAAACTATGATACTCGGAGGGCATTTCGTTAGCCATTGAGCTGCTGCTGCCTGTTATGTGCATGCGTATCCCGTGCGGGTCATCAGTATGCATTCATCTAATATGCAGGGCTAGGTTTGGCTGTGGTTATCAACGTTTCAGCTCCTGATTTATTTGAGATGTCCGAACAAGCTCCTAGGTCCACTTAATTGATAAATCTTGCGTGTACAACTTCATATTTGTTATTGGGCTTGTGCTGCTACTTACAATCTGTTGCTGGTATAAGTCTGCTTGTGATGTGATCAAGTTTACTATGTCACCAGTGTTTGTGGTTTCACCATTAAGGGGGTGTGTGTCATCAGAAGGTGATTTTTGATGTCATTCGTTAAGGGTTTCTTCATCCTATTGGCGAGAGACTATGTACTAATCTATGCAATTGTCTTTGTAATGCCCTTCTTCTATGTGCACTAGGTACATTTGTCAATTCCTCCTTTTATTTACAGACAAGGAGAACGACAAGGATAAGATAAAGTCAGAGTCCTGTAAGTATTACTATGTCTGTGGAAATAATATTAATGCAGTTGCTTGATCTTCTGTTGGGATTAACATACATGGGTAGAATAATGTTATGCTCTGCCTGATGTGGTTTCAGCGTCTGTGCATCGTTTATATTCATGGGCCAGTCTCATCTCATTGCAGAGCGACTCCCATCTAATTCCCAGACAGATTATAAATGATCAATGACTGCCATCATTCCTTCCTGTTAATCTTCACTCCTCTTCCCTTCTGTGTGGAAAAGCCATTGCTATTTTCATTAGGTGATAAGCTATCCTGATTTATCTTCACCTTACAGTAAGCCATAAAGACACTCCGCCGTTGTAGTATGTGTTCCTTCTCTTCTCCCGTTTCGATTCTTGCATCATGGCAACATGTTGTCCTTTCCTTGGTTGAGGTCGAGTGGTCGTTGCTGTAGAGGTTGACCACCAAGTCGTAACTCAGCCAACGTCTTTCAGTCTGCTGCTTTGTGCTTAACCATGCAACCGAAGATTTCAACAGTTTCATATTCAATGGGTTATGGTTTAAAATGGGGTCCATGGTTCAGACATTAGTGGGGTTCAGTCATTTCTTTTTTTTAATGCAATTTAGCAGATTCGTCACATTAAATATGTGAATGGTTTGTGGTGTAAGACCATGAGGGGGACTCTCTGAATGATTAGACAGCAAGGAATAGTGCGCTTGCATCGAGAAGAGAAAGGAAGAGAGATAGATAGAGAGAGAGAGAGAGAGAGAGAGAGAGAGCGTTCGTGCGTGCGTGCGTGCGTGCGTGCGTGCGTGCGTGCGTGCGTGCGTGCGTGCGTGTGTGTGTGTGTGCAGGGGCGTGTACGGGGGGGAGGGGGGTCCGAACGCAAAATTTGTTTTCCCACTTGAGTTCCAGACCACAGCCAATCAGCGCACTCCATTCACTCGACTTCCTCGAAGCAACAATGTAAAATGAATAACTCCTAACCCTAACCCTAACCCTAACCCTAACACTAACACTTACCCGAACCCTAACA